GGAGATTTTAGAGCAAGAAGGAGACAAATTGAAATTGCAGAGTTTTGAGAAACTAAAAGATAGAGTGCGAGATTGGTTACATTATTTTCAAATAAGAGAGGTATACAATTTAGACCAAAAAATCGGCTTCCAGGTGGAAAAATCAAAGTTGGAAACAGAATTGTTAGACCCCAATACTAAGATACTATCAAGAATGTATAACTTGCTGTTAAAATGGAATACTCAGGATGAAACGGTTAAATCGGCTATGATTAAATGGGCACAGGACGTTGGTCATAACATTATGTTTGCTGACTGGGAACAGTTGTGGACCACGAGTATGAAATTCACGGCATGTAATGTCCTTAGAGAGAATATTATGAAAATGATTTATAGGTGGTACATGACACCAGTCAAGCTTGCAAAAATTTACCATTTGCCCGATAATAAATGTTGGAAGTGTAAAGAAACTGAGGGTACATTCTTTCACCTTTGGTGGACGTGCCCAAGGATTAAGGCTCTCTGGGAAATGATATATAATGAATTGAAAAAGGTATTTAAGTATACCTTCCTGAAGAAACCAGAGGCCTTTCTCCTGGGCATTGTCGGCCAATTGGTGTTAAAGAAGGATAGAACTTTCTTTATGTACGCAACAGCAGCAGCAAGATTACTCATCGCGAAATATTGGAAGACACAGGAGCTACCCACACTGGAAGACTGGCAGATGAAGGTCATGGACTACATGGAATTGGCAGAGATGACCGGCAGAATCCGTGACCAGGGAGAAGAGTCGGTGGAGAAAGATTGGAAGAAGTTTAAAGATTACCTGCAGAAGCACTGTAAAATTAAGGAATGTTGAAATGACGTCTGATTGAAAATAAGTGGTACTGGTAAAGAGATGCTTAAGAAAATGTAAATAGGGAATGATAATTGGAAATGGATATTTACAATAATAGGTTTATATATGGAGTAAGGATAAAATGCTAGAGGGTAAGGATTTGCTGAATTTAATATTTGAACTGGAATACAAAATGGGAGGTGTGAGGAGGTCAAGAAATTAGTGAAGAAAACATAAGATTTGAAAATATTAATTCATTTTTAGCTTTGTTTTGTGGCTTTTTCTCTTCTTACTCTTCATCTTTTACTTTTTTCTTTCTTTCTACCTTTCTTTTATCAACTGTTTTTCTACTGTGTATTTTTATTTGTCTTGTTTTTGTAGTTTAAATGTTTAAACGTTTAAATGTTGGATTTTGTTTTTATTGTTTGTGAAATATTAATAAATATCATTTTAAAAATAAATATCATAGTTATAGGATGTCTTGGGGTGTTAGGGGAGCGGTAGTACCTTTGGTGGGGGTAATTTATCCACCATTGGTCCCCACCCACCATTGGTCCCCACCCTGCACTCAGCTCTCACCTGTGGCTTCCAGAAGCTGTCAGCATGCAAAATGGGCCGCAATCCCAGGAACGGCTTCAACCGGCCTGCTAAACCAGGTGAGGATATCTGATGGGTCTCAAATCCTTGGTGGGTTGGGGAATTCTGCTGCCGGTGACGGCAGGCCCTGGTGGGTGAGAGGATGACAACAACAGTGAATCCCACAGTCAAGAAGGCAGATTCTGCCCATTCTGCAGAGGAAAGTGAAGGGCAGATGGGATCGTCAACCCGGGAAGGGAGACCATTGAGAAGGAAAACTTTGGTCCTAAACCTTCATTGCCTCTTGAGTTATCTTCAGGAGAAGTAAAAGCTGTGGAGGAAAACCTACACAAATCCAGAGTGGACTCTCTAAGACGGTTAGATGGTGTCCTGCACACCTCCTTCCAGCCACTCCTGCAGCCAAGCTGGTGCCTGACGTACTGCTCTGCTTTCCTTGGGACCATATAAGCCAGGCTGAGAAGGGGGTCTTGTTGTCTAGGCAGCCCTGAACCCCCAAACACACTGTCCAGCCAGTGCTGCTAACACAGCAGTTTCAGGGGGAGCGATGAACTCAGACCTGTGTATCAAAGTCTCTCCAATGTGGAATATGTAAAACAGAACTGCTGCTTATATCATACATCAATTAAAAAGTATTCAGAATATTTGTCTTTTGAAGAAAAGACCACCAAGTATCCGATGGCCCCTTCAAAGCTAATAAAAGTCTTGTGCCTGGAGCTTTTGGGTTGCAGGACCAGGAAAGCTTCTGCCACCATTATCCTTCCAATTGGGATTCAGGCCTCATCATGGGACTGAAATTGCCCTGGTTGCGCTGTTTCCTGGTTCTGATGGATCTCTCAGCGGCTTTGGAGACCTTGGACCATGGTATCCTTCTGGACCCTCTAGGGCAGCTGGGGGGCCTGCTATGCAGTCGTTCCCCTCCTTCCTCCTGAGCCATGTCCAGAAATTGGTGTTGGGGGATGAGTGTTCTTTCCCCTGGCTGCTCTCTTGTGGGAGCAACAGGGTTGCCGTAAACAATAATCCCACCCACAAACTCCCATTCACACAAAGATTGTAAATTGTGGGGGGGGCGTCACACACCTCACCTGTGCTAATACTGGCAGTCTTTGGCCTGTATAGGCACACCCTGTGAGTAGAGCCTCCAGCCACAGGGACTGTCTATCATGAAAATGGGTCCTTTGACTGGGAAGATTCATGCAATGGCTATCATTGGGTGCTGATGGCTTCTATCTCAGCTTGTCAGTCACTCTGAAACTGCCTATTGAGCCTACAAAAAGTAATCCTCAATGAACCAGGTAGTGGAAGAGACACTTTAAGATGGAAACCTGAGAGAGAGGAAAAGGTTACTGGCTGCTTCCTGGGTGGGACTGAGGAAACAAGGAGTCACTTCTGAGAAGCCCCCCCCCCACTTTCTCTCGGGGGGTTTTCCGGGTTTTCCAATCCTCTCCAGGCGGACTAATGGTTGGACTTGGCAGAACTGCTGTATCTGCCATTAATTTGATTTTGAATTGATACTAGAATGAATTGATTTTAGAATGCTTTTTAATTAATTGATTGTGATTTTATGTAAACTGTGTTACTTTTATTGTTGTTAGCCGCTCTGAGCCAGCTTCGGCTAGGAGGGTGGGATATAAATTATTATTATTATTATTATTATTATTATTATTATTATTATTATTATCATCAACATCATCATCATCTGGACAGATCAGGGGCTTATGGGGTGGGAATTGGGTGGAGCTTGTAGGAAGGAAGTTGTGCCTTGTTAACGGAGAAATCTGAGGGCCCCTCTGGACAAAAAACAAGGACACCAACCAGAAATACCAGATCAAAACAGCAGCCAGTAGGCTTGGTCTTTATTGAATACTGTCACGATAGGACTCCCCACCTGCCACCAGGTGTACCAAGATGGAAGCCCCGAACAGAAGAGAACCCAAACTTTTATTAGATGCTAATCCCAATGTTACAGCCCCCCAAACTACATCACTAATACATCATGTTTACATCATGAAAGGGGAGGTCTGGTGGCAGTAATCTGAGCATCCTGGACCCTGCCCATGGTTCCCCTTGCCCTCCACCAAACACCCATCAAGTGTAACAAAAGAGATATTTACATTTCCCTGCTAGGAGCAGAAGTGCGTCAGTAGCCAGAGCGGAACAGGCGGGGGGGGGGGGCAGTGCAAAACAACATGAGTAACATACGGCCTGACTTACGCACACACACACACACACCCAACAAGAAAGGAAATGGCCGCTGGATGGCGTCGTCAGGGGAGCCATGCCCCCCCCCCCCCCGCTGCCACAAAAAACAAGAAGGCCACCCCCACGGCCTAGCTGGCCCCCTGCCCAGAAAGAAAAGCCATAAAATTATGGCTTAGCCTGGTGGGTGGGGCCATGCCCCTTCCAATCATGCCAGAATTTACCTTAATCTGGTCGCCAGGACACGCTCCTGAGGATCCTGATCCTGGAAGGAAGAAAACCAAAAGGGGGTTGGACAAAGGGGTCGGCCTCTTTTCTTTGCCTTTTGCCCCACCCCACCCCACCCCCCACGGCCAGCAATCCATTGTCCTCCCTGACCTGTTTCCCAGCCAAGTTAATCACACCCTTTTGTCTTCTGGAATGGCTACCTGTCTGGCACTCAGGTATCAGGATGCCAGGGATTATCCCTCAGGCAGAGGGGCTGCTGAGTAGCTGAGCGCACATGTCTAGATGAATTTCTGAAGTTTCCCCAGTGAGCCAGTACATAGAGACATTTATCAGTGAATTCCTACATTTGGTATTGTGCAGCAAAGGCCCTTTGAATAGATAGGAAGAAACTGTGATGATTGTGGGGACAAATCAGAAAAGTCTCAAAAGTGATGGTGCTGATTTTGGTAGTGGGCTGCATGTGCATGATATCTGCTGGAGGTGCAACCCCCCCCAACCTATACATGAATTCGTGCAACAGTCTGGACAGGGCAGGGGCTTATGGGTGGGAAGAGGATAGAGGTTGCAGGAAGGAAGGGGTGGGGGACACGACCCCCCACTTTCCAGGCATCCCTCTTTGGTCTCCTTGAAGGGGTGGCCGGTTCTTGGGTGGGAGGGAGAAGCCAAGGCGGCCCCTCCAGAGAATCCCTGCAGGCCCCACCACGGAGACGTCTCCCCAAAGTCTGGTCTTCCTAGCTCTCCCCCCCCAATTGCTGCCCTTCCCTGCCCCAGGGATACGCCCCTCCCCACTTCCTCGACTCCCTCCCTCTGTCCCAGAGTCTCCCCTGCACCCAGAGGCCCCCCTTGGCGTGGCTCACCCCACGCCCTGCGCCCCCCGTCTCTCCGTTCGGAGGGGACCACTAAGACGAGCAGAGGAGGACAGGGGGGTCTCTATCCAAGCGTCCCTCACGCCCGTTAACCCTTTCATGGCCCACCTCTCTCCGCACGGAACCCACAGAGTCCCAGGGATGCCTGCGCGGGGAAATGGGGTGAGGGGGCTTCGTTGGGATCCCCTGGGTGGGCTTCCTATGGGTCCAAGGAAAACCCCTTCGCAGAACGCGTGCAGGGATCCAGATGCAATACAGGCGCTTTGGGGAGCTGGAGGGAGTCTCTGGATCCTTCTCCCGCCTCCCCCCGCGACCCCTTTACCTCTTTGTCCTCGCTCGCGATTCTCCTTTCCTTTCCTGCAACATCCACGTGGGTGGGGGGGATTTACCTGCCGCCCCTCCTTCCCTTTCCGAAAGCGCGCGCCCCTAGAGCTGCGGGGCAGAGCCCGAATCCGGCGCAGAAGCTCCACTTGCGGGAGAAGCAGGCAATTTGGGAGGGGTCTCTTTCCCCCCCTCCCCACTCCCGGAACAGAAGTCGGATGGCGAGGAAGAGGAAGAGGAGGTGCAACGTATGGGGGCGGGATTTGGGGTTGTGGGGGCGGGGTGAGAGAAGGATGTGCCGGGAGTGGAGGGGAGGATTTGGGGGGGGGGAGAGGAAGGTTTTCCCCCCTCACTTCTTTCTTCTGGGGATCAAGAGAGCGGGGGAGGGGCTGATTCCGGCAATCCACTCGCAAAGTGGGGTCTCGCACCCCAAAATGTTTACATTGCAAAATCCCTCCCTCCCCCACCCTACGCCACGAGATTAGATCCGTCCGTGTTTTAGGTACTGGTGCACGTTGAGCAGTGGCTTGGACTCTGTGACTCCTGTGTTACGGGGGGAAATGGGGTTTTGGCTTTTGCGCACACAGCCCCGACACCCAGGTAAAATTCATGCAAGGAGTGAAGCAGCCCAGAACTAAAGCGCGTTGGAATTCGTACATCCTCAGATAGGTTTTTTCACCTCCTCCTTCCTTGCAGAGAAACATTTGGTCAACTGGGGAGTCAAAATGATTTCAGGACTGTCTTCCTGTGCTGTTTTGGACATGTGGTTTATATATTTATGTACGTGTTTGATTGATACATTTATGAACATTTATTATATATCTAAGACCTTAAATTTTTTATAACAGAACCCCCCCACAGGGAACAACAGGCTCCCAGCTCTGTATATGTCTATGTATTTTATTGTCTCTATCTCTTTTTGTGTGCTTTGCGTTGAGAATTGTGTTTCCAGCTCAGCCAAGGGAGCTGGGGCTGGAGGGCCAGCTGTGTGTGAGAGAGAGACTGAGTGTGGGAACCCCACCCCATGCAACAAGAGGCTCCCAGCTCTGGGTATGTCTATGTATTTTATTGGCTCTATCTTGGCCAAGGGGGGCTGATGCTGTGAGGAAACAGGAGATTTCTCACTTTGTGTTTTGCTTGAAGGCTCCTGCAACTTGTCGGAAGGGCAACAAGTCCCCCTTGGGTAACAACTTAAGCAGGCGCTCATAATGGGGGCAGGGTTCCCCACACTCACAGGAGGAATGGACTCCATTACAAGGCATGGTGAATAATTTAGGCAAATTCGACCGCAAATATGGTGGAGCGATGAACCCCAAACGACTGAGAACTCCCTGCGAGCAGCCCCCCCCCCCCGGCTCATAGGACCTGGAGCAAACCAACCAGGTCTTTAGAAGCATGACAAAACACCCTGGATGTTGGCGGAGCAGTTTGCATACGCAGACTCCTGGGTAGCAGTCCTGAGAGAGAGCTCTACGTGGCTACAGAAATTGAAAGGAGACTATTGTACCTCTCTGATGGTGCAGTGGGCACTGAAGGAGACAAAAGTAATCAAACCCCAAAAGAAAGAACACTTTTCCAGAGGAGGGGTGAAAAAGAAATAATCAATGTGGTCCCCAACGATTCCCACTATTACGGAATGGGGGGTCATATAAACAGAATTTTACTCCCAAGTAAACCACGTAGGACCCGAGGCGATGACCTCAAGGGAACCCCGCTATACAAGGGCTCCCCTCGTCCTGTCACAATGTTGCACCAAGCACCACACAAAACCCCAACACCCCAAGAATAAAGTGCCATTTCTGACTGTGTATCCCGGTGCTATATACAGGCAGGCAGTATGAATGAACGATGTATTTTTTGAATGAACAATTTATTTACATGAGGATGCTTCCTGACCAATCAAATCGCGACAAATCTAGCCCTTCAGCCAATCCCAGCAATGCTATGGCTCCGCAGTAGCTGCTCAGCGCAGCTATCTTCCACAATTCAGTGACAAGGTGACAACAGCTCATGCTGAGAGAACAATGGACTAAGTTCATCGAAACCTCGTTACCTTGTAATCCACTCATAAAACTGGATCTGATGTAGTGAGGCCAATTCAAGTCATTTCCGAACCCACTGTCTGTATTGTGAATAGCCAAAAACGCTTAGAAATTCATAGGAAATCACTGGTTTCAACAATTCTCTTCATTCCACCACCAATTTGCGTCATTGGCTAAGGGCTTGGAAACCACTCAGTCCCCACCATAATCCCTCAAGCGGGAGGTCACGTACTCATAGGAAGGTACTCATTTGTGACAATCGCTGGGCAAAAGCTCTCCTCCGGACTTGCCCAGGTGCCAGACTATGCAAACCAAAGTTCTATTGTTCTTTTGCAGTAGGTGCTTAGAATGTACTCCCAATACATATCCTGTGTTTGCCTGTTACCCTGAGACATTCCTCCTATGTGAATCATGTGTAACCCTCCCCTTTTCTGATGTAGTGATGATGTAGCAATAATGTAGTGATGATGCTCCACGAACTGCATGCTGGGATAAGATAGAAACTTTTAAAAGTCTTTGTCACCCCATCCTGGGGGTTCAATTCCTCTTTCAACCTGTTGCATAATAAACTTTTGGTCTACAGCTATTTGCTCTGGTTGGTGGCTGGACTCCTTCCTTTATTCCGCAGGGACCCACGGGCTCTGCCCAACGAGCTGGGTGGCTGAGGAGCCTCACACCTGGGTCCCCCCTCCCCCGTAACACCAAATTAGCCCTTTATTGGCCAGACCTAGGAGTTTTGATAGCGTTTGGGGGCATACAAGATCAGGACTCTGAGCCTTATTCCCTTGGGGGTTTCCCAGCTGGTGCCTCCCCCCTTTCACCCAGCCAGTCCATGACAGCAACAGCAGCAACAGTAAATTCAGTACGATAATAATATTCACACTGGTCCTCTGGCAGGAAGAATTAATAACTTCTGGGACTATAGAAAAGTACTATCTTCCCCAAACCCCAGAATAAGAAGGAGCTCTGGGGTCGCCCCATGGGGTTCATGAGTGAAGATGGGACCCATCAGGAGACTTTCCTGGTACCTGCAGCCCCTCCTTCCCTCTCTTGCAATAAGGCTTGGGGGAAATCTCCCATTAAATTACAGTATTTTAAGTTTTCTTCTGAATGTGTAGGAGACAGGGAGAGGTTCTAGTGAAGAAGCAGTGTTTGGAGATCACACGTGGTGGGGGTGAGAGAGTTTGGTGCAAAAACCAGTCACACACATATGCACCCATTTTGCATGCTTGAGTACAGCAACTCCAGGGCATGAGCTAAGTATAACCAGGATAGGGGCCACGTGTAAAGCAATTCCCATGCTTAGGTCAAAAACGCACACAGAGGCAGCAGGAGTTCTTCAGTAATATTTTACTGATCTTTCAAAGCATACAGTTCTCACTGGGTCCCCAGTGAGGCTCAAAACTTAGCTCCTGAGAACAAATCCAGTTTCAGCAGTAGAAAAATACAGCACACAGGATATCTACATCAGGCAGACACACACCGGCAGAAGGGAGCAAGGGAGGAAAGAGGCTGGAAGGACACAGGGCAAAGGATGTGTGTCTTTCGCTTCCTGTCGTCTTGGAGGGAAGTCAGCAACTTTGCATCTGCAGGGGCTTCACGAAGAAAAGCTTTCTGCCGGCTGCTTCCAGGCAAATGGGCATCCCAGAAACACACACTGTGATCTGTGGTGTGTTGCCATATCAATTGTTTTGAAAGGTTATCACAATGTGGTCTAGAAACCAGTATGGGACAATATATCGCCCAGCCCTCACTGACCACCAAGAAATCCAGATAAACCCTCACCCTTTCTCTACCGAAAGGTACTTTACATCTTAGATCATAATCACATTGTTTGACATTGCCTTCAATATTTCATTACTATAGAGTTTACCACATAAATACCAGAACTTCACATACACAACATGTGTTAAAGACTGATTTCCTGCTGAGTTCAGTTCTGTGAAGAAATGAGTGGACATTGAAAGGAACACATCCCGCACTCCATACATATAAATGGGTTCTTCCTTGTGAGAGTCCCTGGATGTTCCTTAAACACTCCATTGTAAATAAAGCACTTTTTGCAATCTTTTCATTTAAACTGCTTCTCCTCTTTGGGTTTATTGATGGTTTGTAGGGTTTCAACTCCTAAAGTTCTTCCTGTTCATGAGTCTGTTGATATAGGACTTCCACTAGGACTGAACCTCTATCTACTTTCCTGATAGTTATAAGGTTTGTGTTTTGTGTGAGTTTGTTCACATAAATCAGGGGTTCCACTCTGACTGCAGCTCCTTCCACAGTCCATACTTTTAAACAGTTTGCCCCCTGTGTGTCTGCCGATGTTTTCTAAGATTTCGATTCTGACTGAAGCTCTTTCCACACTCCATGCATTTAAATGGTTTCTCCCCTGTGTGACTCAGTTGATGTGTTCTAAGGTTTGCATTGAAATTGAAGCTCTTTCCGCACTCCATACATTTAAATGGTTTCTCCTGTGTGAGTCCGTTGATGCATATTGAGGTGTCCACTCTTACTGAAGCTCTTTCCACACTCCATACATTTATATGGTTTCTCCCCTGTGTGAATCCGCTGGTGTAATTTAAGGTCTCCATTCTGACTGAAGCACTTTCCGCATTCCATACATTCAAATGGTTTCTCCCCTGTGTGAGTCCGTTGATGTGTTCTAAGGTTTCCATTATTACTAAAGCTCTTTCCGCACTCCATACATTTAAATGGCTTTTCTCCTGTGTGAGTCCGTTGATGTATATTGAGGTGTCCACTCTGGCTGAAGCTCTTTCCGCACTCCATACATTTATATGGTTTCTCCCCTGTGTGAGTCCGTTGATGTTTTCTAAGGGATCCGTGATCACTAAAGCTTTTTTCGCAATCCATGCATTTAAATGGTTTCTCCCCTGTGTGAGTCCGTTGATGTCTTCTAAGTTTTCCATTATCACTAAAGCTCTTTCCGCATTCCATACATTTATATGGTTTCTCCCCTGTGTGAGTCTGTTGATGTTTTCTAAGGGATCCATTATCACTATATCTCTTTCCACACTCCATACATTTATATGGTTTTTCACCCGTGTGAGTCCGTTGATGTATATTGAGGTGTTCACTCTGACTGAAACTCTTTCCACACTCCATACATTTATATGGTTTCTCTCCTGTGTGAGTCTGTTGATGTATTCGGAGGGTTGCATTGAAACTGAAGCTTTTTCCGCACTCCATACA